GCTGCTTGATATTGTTGGTTTTCATGTGTGACAGATTGATTTAGAAGCTAAAGTCAGGGAGGTAGCCAAATGATGAAAGATCTAGATGAGAGTGCATTTTCTAATAAAAACTTGCAGTTATGCTCAACATGTAAATAGTAGCAGTGTGCTACTATTATTCATCCTAGTAAATGAGTTATAAATAATCCTTATGCAAAGAATTTACTATAGGGGGGGGAGGGATAGCTCAGTGGTTTGAGCATTGGCCTGCTAAACCCAGGGTTGTGAGTTCAATCCTTGAGGGGGCCACTTGGGGATCTGGGGTAAAATCAGTACTTGGTCCTGCTAGTGAAGGCAGGGGGCTGGACTCGATGACCTTTCAAGGTCCCTTCCAGTTCTAGGAGATGGGATATCTCCACTATTTCTTTCTTCTTTCTTTTCTTCTTTCTATAATTTGCTGTTTAAGTTGCAGGTTGTTATTTGGTGTAAACTCAGTGGCTAAATTAATCTCTTGTGTAACTAGACTCAGTCAGTTGAGTTCACCAGGTGAATTTGGCTCATTATATCAATTATACACTAACCATATTTGTATGAATATATAATCAAGCTAGTAAGGACAGGAAATAGATACTATTTAAAATAAGTGTAGCTGGTAGTACTGTATGGTACACCTCCATATGGTGAAAATCAAATAATCCTTTTTCTTTTAATTTTTCTCCGACCGCAAGACTCCTGTAGTTCTCTCTGAATTGTCTCACAAAACAGACTGGATGGCTTAGTAATAGCAGTGCTACTTTAGCTCAGTCAATAGAAGGATCTGTTTTACATGAGCAGGCACATCTGACATATTCCATCCGGTAGAGGGCAGTGTTACACTTGTACACAAACCAGGACATTGCAACCTATAGGAGGAACAACAGGAAAGTTCTGATGACAGCTTAAACTGGGTAGACTTGTAGAACCAGTTATTTTTGTGATAAAGCTAATACTCTATTGACTCTAGATCTTTGAATCACTTGAGTCACAAAGTTGCCAACCTGATTAAGATTTATCTGAAACAGAAGCTGCCATAGGAGGAACTCCATTTGATAGACTTGACTGCATGGTTATTGTAAATTACTATTTTTACAGTACCCAAAAATGTGCTAGATGTTTTACACACAAATAAGAAGGCAGCCTCTGGCCTAAAGAGCTTAATATATATAAAAAAGAGAAGATGAGGGGTAACAAAAAGAGAGGAAGAGGATGGGGGATAAGAATTATAAAGAAGAGCTTGAGGATTCTGCACCCATCTTGGATTTTGTGTTTTATCATTTGTTTTTAATAAAGATTTTAAATAACTTTTGATATAAAATGAACATACCATGCTGTATAAAAGCCCTACTGTGGCCAGTAATACTATTCCATCTCTGGATGGCTCACAAGGACTAACAATACAAAAATCAAACCATGGCTAGGTCTACATTCGGAGTGCCTGATACTTACATCAGCAATGCACTTAGTGTGGATGCAGCTTATACTGCCAAGCTGTGCTTTTGCCAGTATAGTTTATTCCAGCTTCCCCCTCCACAAGTGAAATAAGCTATACTGTCAAAAAACACAGTTTTACAGGTATAACTGTTTACATTACCAGCATAGCCATGTCAGTCACAAGTCACATCTCATCAGACCCCTGAACAACATTGCTATGCTGGCAAAAATTTGTAGCCTAGACCTGTTCTATGTCTTCATTACAGAGTCAACACTTCTTCCTTCTACTAAAGTGTGTGAAGTCCCAGTATGTATCTCCTCAGGCATCCCTCCCTCTTACAGGAAGTCTGCTAACAAAACCAGGGAAGACTGGATTTGACATTTCTGATATTTCCAAGCTAAAAAGCAAGAAGGGGTGGGGGGGATGTCAGGCCTCACTATATATCATAAAGAAGCAAAAAAGGGCAAACAGAATTTTTAAAATAAATCTTTTGAAGGTTGCCTTTACTTATCACTTAACCCCCAAAGTGTCAGAAGGAAGAGAAGAAACGTTAAGCTGTTTTCAACAACTCTGTATTAGTGAGATTAGAAAAGTGGAAATAACATTTTAAGGGCTAAGCTTGCAAAGGAATACACATAGATGGCCTTTAAACGTACTGACTTGTGAGTGGACATCCATGCAGACTCTACTGGAAAACTGAGTCCTTAATAACCCAATTCTGCAAACATTTATTCATGTATTTAACTTTATTTCCAATGAGACTACTCATGTATTTGAAATTAAGCATGTGCACAAACATTTGTAGGATCAGGGCCTAAAGTTGCACACTGGAAAGTTGTCATAAAAATGCATTTTTTCATGTTCTGAACCCAAGGAAGAACTTGAATAATTCTAAATTAACCCTAAGAAGTCATAGTAGCAAAATTCCCATTAATCTGACTAGAATAAAATGGGAAAATTGAAGGGACAAGGCATTAAAAACAGGTAGTCAGAAAAGCCATAATTTAATCCTACAAATTCCCCTCTTGCAATAACCTTAGCACAACCAAACCTTCAGAATGCCACTAAATTCAGCATCTTTATTCTTTCCTATTTCCCCTTTAGGAGAACTGAGAGCAGGAACAGGAAAAGCATATGGTGAGACTCAGGTGAGTCTGGAGTAGAGATGAGAGGGAGAATGAATAAAGGATGGGAGAAGATGAGGAAAATAGGGATAAGGAGTGCAGCAAATTAAATGGAAGGTGTTATAAAAAGGTGTTATAGTAATCTGAATTAATTTGATCAGTTTGTTTACACTATGGGAATTGTACATTATCAAATGGAAATGAGAGTTCCATACACAAAACAGACAAAATCCACTGCCATTTACATTATTATGGATATTACTGGATTTCCAGCACCCAGAAAGTACTGGCAATCTCATGGGAAAAACAGAAAGACTTCAGACAACTTGTGGAGTTAATGTTTTCTCTGCTCCCTACAGAGCAAAGTCTGAAAATTAAAAATGCAGCTTCTTACTACTGTGGATTGATGGGAAAAGGCAGATCCATTTAAAACCGGGATGCTAATTTAGTTTATTTAAAGGCTTTTCTATTGCACTCATCTAGGTAGTACCCTAGGACTTCATAAACATTCATTAATTTAGCTTCACAAGACACTAGTGAGGTAGAGAAGCATTATTATCCTCATTTTATAGATGGGGAACTGAGTCATGAAGATACTTGCCCAAAGTCACACAAGAAGTCTGAGACAGAAAGGAATCAAGCCAGATTTCCTATCAGGCCAGTGTCTTAACTGCAAGATCCTCCTCCTGCAAAGTAAAAACTAAAAGCTTGTTTTGTAAAATACCATTCTCCTATTGTGTCAAAAGCAAGGTATTTGATCTTAAAAAAGAGCGGACTCTATAAACAGATGCATCTAAGAATGCACTTGGTGCAATACAGCTTGAAGAAAACAGACCATTATGCTATGCATCAGTCAAGCACATCACAGAGGAAGAGGGCACACAAAAAGAAACCATATTTAACAAGTATTTTGCTGCCCACACTTTCATCAACAGGTACTGTGCCTTTAGTTTTTGTGCAGTACTGAACACATTGTGTGTGCTGCTGGAAACAAAAAAATAAAAGCACACACAGATGACGGCCATGTTATGAATGAGTTTGGAGTCAGTTCTAAAGAAACCATTCCTTGTAGCATCACTGAGACTAGAGAATCATTCTCTAATTGTCAGGGTACAACATTCACATTGTGCATCATCCAGGAAGTGACATATCTGTCCTTGGCTTCCTATACTACTAAAAGAGTTGCTGTCCAACTTATTCTGTGAAACTCATTCATTTCCTTGGGAGACTTTAATACCCATGTGAACAACACTCCTAAGAGTGAGATCACATCTTAGGTGGGCTGTTCTCCAGACCTACCCTCATATTTTGTTGTTATAACAGTGGCCTACCTTTCTATCATCAGGTGTAGCCACTGCGTCAGCTCCTGCTCTATCCCCTTTGTCAGCATATTAATTTAGCCCTCTGGCGAAAACACAGTCCACCCCTTCTGAGGCATCGACTGGACTGGCATGTTCGTCCCTTACTCTGTCTTCCTGGAGTCTTGTAGCAAAACCAACAGAAGTAAACAAAATACAGGTTTCTCTGGGGTTACCAGCTCTGCTCAGAATCATGGGCTGAGTCCCCAAAGCCCCTCTTTCACAGGGTTCCATAGGCAAGCCAGGCAGGTTTTCAGGGCATGGTTATTTTTGTAGAGGAACCTACAGGCCTCCCCCTCCCTGGAAAGGCCCATACACCATTCCTACTTCTTCCAGAGAGCCTCCACCACAGGTCAGGCATCTCCCCTGAGCTCTCACTGGAAGGCGGCCCCCTGGGGGTCACAATCTCTGTTCGGAGGGCAGGGCGCTAAATGGTCCTTCCCCAGCATTCCTCGCTGTAGCCTCCCGAGTCCTTCTTCCCCAGCGCTCCAGCCACAAGGGGCGGCGAGCCTCGAGCCCACTCAGCCCTGCGTCTACCTCGCCCCGTCCACGCCAGGCTCTGAGGGGACGCTAGGACGCATGTTAGCCGACCCTTTCCCAGGCGAGCTCGAAAGGCCCCCGAAGCGGCTGAAGGGATTTGTGTATAACACCTAAGTGGGGATGACACAGCTGCTTCATCACAACACAGCGACCCTAGCTCTGACCCGTGGATTGTGAGGAGGTGTCACCGCAGGGACATCGCGCGTTAGCTGAGCCCCGAGCTCTGCACTGAAAGCGGTTCCTCGTGTGATAGGGCCGGGGACCAGGCGGCAGAGGGAGCGGGGAGACTGGTGTCTCCTCAGGACCGGCGGGGGAGGGGGGACTAGCCTCCCCTCAGGGACGGGGGGGGGGGCAGCCTCTCGCAGTCCCTTCCCCCCACCAGCAGACCCCAGCGCGCCCCCGCCCGCTAGTTCCCGCCCTAGCTCAGGGGCCGCTCCGCTCTGCTCCCTGCATCTCCGCCGCACACGCTGCCGTGGCCCCGCCTGAGCGGCGGCGCCGGGGGCCGCAGCGCGCATGCTCGGCGCGGGCGCCATTTTGGTGGGGCCGGGAATTATCCAGCGGGAGCGGCGGAGCTCGCTGGGCCCGGCTCGGAGGCAGCGGCGAGTGGGTGCCGGCTGCGGAGATGGCCAACATCGCGGTGCAGAGGATCAAGCGGGAGTTCAAGGAGGTGTTGAAGAGCGAGGAGGTCAGAGGCTCCCCCCTTCCCCGGCGGTGTGGCCGCCTGCCCCTCCTCCTCCCGCGGCTGGGGGAGGGTCTGTCCCAGCCTCTCGGCAGAGGGGGAGGGTAACGGCGACTCCCGGGGATGAGGGACTCAACAGCGCGGGGACTCGGGGAGTCCTCCCCCGCCGCGGGCAGCGGCAGTCTGGTAGGGCGGGGGCCGGGGAGAAGGACCCAGAGGCCCGGCCTGGAAGGGGTAGGAAGTGCGGCTGGGCAGCGAGCGAGCTGCCTGGGCAAGGCCGGGAAACCCCCGGGTAAAGCGCCCCCTCCCCCACCCAGCCTGGGGTTGGTCTGGCCCAAAAGGGAGGCTCAGAGGATCCTAATACCAAGGCGGGCCGCGCGCGGGTGGGGGGCGGCGGCTCCCCACTGACACAGCTCGTGATCCCTGTATTTCGCGGCAGGGGCACTGGGGAGAGGCTTTCCCATGGGATCTGAAAGGCGGTGGGGCAGAGATAGGAGGGGCGGGTAATGACTCGGGTGCATTTCATCCAGCTCCCTGGTCGGCGTCTGACTGATACTGCAGAGAATGATAAGTTTTTTTTAAATGAAGGCAAGTAAAAGCCTATTTTCCTAGATTTCCTTAATCCAGGGGCTTCCTTTTATACCAGGTTATGTCACCCGGGTGTGCAGGGCTTTAACCCTTCCACCCCCTGATATCCCAGTTATCTGATGCCCTATTTATCAGATGTAATCGTCCCTGAAACAGGGATGTACAGTAATTGGGAAAAGAAACTGACTTCTTTTAGGGAAGTGATAAAGAACTTTCAGTTTATTTCCAGGGTCTGTGTAATAGGATTGATAGTGATTGTATCAGAGCTGTTTTCACTGTGTCTGTAGATCTTTATTGGTAACTGTCAGCCAGATAGGTTTTGATGGCTGTGTCGTCACTATCATACTCAGAAGGATGATGAGGCATGTTGTATGCCTGTGAAATATTAATGTGCAGTTTGACTCTGAAAACTGATGGTTTTAGACTCTGTACAGATCAGGCACATTCATATTCGGAAAACCAAGATGGTAGTAACTTCCTGAGGATTTGTGTTCCTTACAGAAAACATGTTTAGTATTGCTGTAGTTGATGTGCTTTTGAATGTAGTGTGCTAACAATGTTGTTATTATGCAACTCAAAATAAACTATTCTCCAGAAAATCTTAAAGCCTAATTTCTAGAGCTGTTGTGCAGTGTGATACTCAAATTGATTTCAATGTGAGTTCTAGTGCACAATGATTACAGAACCCAAATACTAAATTAGAAGTGATCCTGAGTGGTCAGCTGTGTATTCGTATGCTGAAATTAGAATAGCCCATAGTGTTTACTTTCTCTGAACAATACAGCTTAAAGTTGATTGCATATGCCTTTGTATTAGAAAGCACTCACTGAACACTCCAAATTTTGCCCTGGCATTATTTAGAAAAGAGAAACCTTAATATATGCAACAGTGATATAAACATAGTCAGATCTTTGACTTTTCTTATAAAAAAGCTTGGGACCAGGGAGCAATTTTGTTTTCAATTCCTGGTTAATTAATATATGTGCTGGAGGTATTTAGTGCGTTGAAGATTAAAAAAATTACAATACATACTCCCCCAGTTGACTGAATTTTGATACAACCCTTACTTTTGTAGGATTTCTTCATCTTTTAAATTAAACATGTAAGAGAGCATTGCCTCTTTTCCAGTATTCAGCTATTACTAGTAGTTAAACTATCAATACATATATACAGTAATCACTGTTTACATTACACACTTGCTACTGGTATTCTGAATACATAGTTCGTTTATGTAATTGTGGATGTTTAATATAATGGCAAACTGATTCTGGATACTTGTATTGGGAATACCTTGGCTTGATTTTTCAAAGTCTGAGTAAACTTTTTTTTCAGCTGTAGTGTGAAAACATTCAATATGAGGAGGAGAATGGAGGGATGACTAGATATTACTGGTCCAGGGAGGAAACTGCTGAGGCTAGGTAACTTTTTTTTTTTTTTTTTTTTTTTTTAAATAAAGTGAGTTGTGCATTGACAATCTGAATCTCAGACTTTAAAAAAAAATGGTTGTCACAAATCATATAGCTAAAATGTGTTACTTTTAAAATAAAATTGTCTTGCATCAAGGAGAAGTTGCTGATCTTATCTGCACTTAAGCCTTCTTGGAGTGGTGTGCTGAGCTTTAGCTGAACATGAAAACTGGCACTCAATCTGTTTCCCTATAAATGCCACCAAATGGCATTTGCTCCCATATTGCATTTTGGAGAGAGAACATACAGAGTTTTCCATTTATGTTCTTCCCAGAATGCATTCTGGGCCTAGCTAAGTGGGAGCCAGCCAGAGGCAGTTTTAGAAGAGGATGTGGCAAATACTCAATTTCTTCTGCAATTCATAGATCTTTACAATAAGATACAGGCCAATTTTCAATCTGAGGTGAATGAAAGATTTATAAAATGTATATTTCCTAGCCATACTTTTCATATCTAATGCCCTGTTTTTTGGTCGAGAAATGCTAATTTGGGTGTATCTTTAAGATAATTCCCCTTCTCCCCCCCCCCCCCCCCCCCCCGACCTGCTTTTACTTCCTGGCTTAAAGTTGATGGGCCAAGGATTTTTTTTAAATTGATTTTGTGCTCTCTTTTGCTTATTTTGTGTGAGGACCTGGAATGCTTTTTAAAAAAATATTTTTTGTTCTTGCCTATTAGTTTATTTTGAGTTCTCACACCTGAACTAAAGGAGTGGGATGTTGAATTTTTAGCAGACATCCTTTTAACCTAGTGTATTTGAATTAAACAGGTATGACCAAAAATGAGTTTTAAACAGTGGAAGACTTGTCTTCTCTCTGCCTTTATTCAGACTAGGATTTAGAGTATTATCTTAGCACATGTTGGTTTATGTGCTAACAAATGTAATTAAAAATTCTAATATAGACATGGCACAAGCTGCGTTTAACATGTATTAAACTGGTCAAGTTAAAACCTCATTGCGTCTGCTTTCACAGCTTTTAACTTGAACAGTTTAGTAGTTGTTAAAGGCAGTATAGTTTGTCTGCACTATAACTTTATAATGTGTTAGCATGTGTTAACTAATATCACACTTTAAATCTTAATCTAGAAAAGGCCTCAGTTGCTCAGCTTTCAGTCTATTTTCTTGTGATGTTATTTCACTACTTCTCCATCACATTAGTTTTACAAGGTACACTTTCAGAATTTCTAATACCACAAAAATATATTTTGTGCAAATTTTTTTTAGGTTGCCTTTAAACATCATGAAGAAGCAAATAAGGGAACAGGCCCAATTTTCTTCCACTTGACATATATGATAGGTAGCTTTGATGGGGAGCCGAGTAGAATAGGCATCTTACATAATTTCAGTGTAGCCTTGCTGGAGCAGTGCAACAGGTAATTGAATCGCCCCTTCCCTCCTGTCCATCTCTAAGGATTTAGCTTGTGGAGGAGGAAGAATCTCAGTGGGGAGTATGTGTTGAAAAATAAGGTGGTCACTTGGAGAGATGCTTTGAGGACCAGGTTTAGTTCAACAGGCACATTGAATCTCTTATGATCTAATACAGTGGTGGGCAACCTTCGGCCCATGGGCCACATGCGGCCCGTCAAGGTAATCCTCTGGTGGGCCGTGAGACAGTTTGTTTACATTGATTGTCCACAGGCACAGCTGTCGCAGCTTCCAGTGGCCGCGGTTCACCGTTCCTGGACAATGGGAGTTGCGAGAAGTGGCACGGACTGGCTGCTGCTTCCCACTGCTCCAATTGTCAGGGAACGGCGAACCGCAGCCACTGGAAGCTGCGGACTGCTGTGCCTGTGGACGGTAAATGTAAACAAACTGTCTCACGGCCCGCCAGCGGATTACCCTGTCGGGCCGCAGGTTGCCCACCACTGATCTAATATTTTTATGTAGTGTTATAGATGTATATGCTTTACAGAAGTAAGACAGAGTCCCAGCATTGAGGAGTTTGCAATCTAAATTAGACAAACACAGGAAATGAGAACTGATGAAAATGGAGAGGAGGGTGAAAAACTACAGACTGTTCTAGAGAAACAGCACCTTTACTCAGTGCAGGAGCTACTAGCACTATCAAGAGCTGGCATATTGTTTTAATGACAAGATTTACTTTCGTTCTTGGTTCTTTTTCTCTGGACAAGTTATGGAGGCTGGCTGAGGAGCCAGTAAAGGGAGAGTACTTTCGATGGAGGAATAAGCTAGCTCAGGGGTAGGCAACCTATGGCACGGGTGCCGAAGGCGGCATGCAAGCTGATTTTCAGTGGCACTTGCACTGCCCGGGTCCTGGCCACCAGTCTGGGGGGCTCTGCATTTTAATTTAATTTTAAATGAAGCTTCTTAAAAATTTTAAAAGCCTTATTTACTTTACATACAACAATAGTTTAGTTATATATAATAGACTTATAGAAAGAGATCTTCTAAAAACGTTAAAATGTATTACTGGCACGCGAAACCTTAAATTAGAGTGAATAAATGAAGACTCGGCACACCACTTCTGAAAGGTTGCCGACCCCTGAGCTAGCTTCTCCTAGTGCCAGTAGTGGTAGTACAGTGGATGAAAGATGTCTCTAGCTCTTGAAAAGAAGGTCTTGATTTTTTTTTCCAAACAGTCTCTGCCCGTTTCTCCCTGCCCCCACATCAGCCACAGACTACTTCACTTAGTTTTTCAAGTTTATTCCTTATATATCTAAAAATAAACAGTATTTCTTGTCTACCATTGACAAGAAGTGCTGCCTCTAGCAAATCCAATTTAGGCTTTTCATGATTACATGAAAACGCACAATGGTAATATAGTTTCTGTATCTAACTTTAACCATTTACTAGTTACCTATAAGTCAGGCTGATAGAAACGGTGTGATGGGACTTCCAGTAAGGTCCAGGAGCTGGCGAGAAGCTCAGCTCCCTCCTAGCAACTGGGAAGTTGCTGGGTTTTCTACCTGGTTCCAATGTTTCGTGTCAGCCTC